GTATCTGGTGGAAGAAATGTCTAAGCAGCAAAACATTCAAAGGAAACAAAGCATAAAAGTTTGAAAAATTTGCAGCCTGATGATGCAATAGAAAAGAAAACCCTATTTGCTGGGGAGAAATTCAAGCACACTGAAGAAATTTGTGTAAGTAGCAAGAAACTGAATGTTAATCACCAAGAAAATTAAGAAAATATCTCCAGGACATGTCAGAAACCTTCACAGCAGCCCCTCCCATCACAGGCCCTGAGGCCTAGGAGGTAAAAATCGTTTCCTTGGCTGGGTCCAGGGCCCTCTTGCTGTGTGCAGCCTTGGGACTTGGTGCCCTATGTTCTAGCCACTCCAACCATGGCTACGAAGGGCAAATGGTTCAGGCCATTGCTTCAAGAGATGTAAGCCCCAAGCCTTGGAAGCTTCCATATGGTGTTGGGCCTACAGATGTGCAGAAATCAAGAATTGAAGTTTGGGAACCTCCACCTACATTTCGGAGGATGTATGGAAATTCCTGGATGTCCAGACAGAAGTCTGATTCAGGGGCAGAGCCTTCATGGAAAACCTCTGCTAGGGCAGTGATATGGTTTGGCTGTGTCCTCACCCAAATCTCGTCTTGAATTCCCACGTATTATGGGACAGACCTGTGGGAGGTAATTGAACCATGGGGCACTGTTCTTATGATAGTGAATGAGTCTCACAAGATCTGAGGGTTTAAAAAAATAGGAGTTTCTCTGAACAAGCAAGCTCTCTCTTTGCCTGCCACTATCCATTTAAGATGTGACTTGCTCCTCCTTGCCTTCTGCCATGATTGTGAGGCTTCCACAGCCACATGGAACTGAGTTCACCATTGAACCTCTTTCCTTTGTAAATTGCCCAGTCTTAGGTATGTCTTTATCAGCATTGTGAAAATGGACTAATACAGGCAGCGTGGAAGAGAAATGTGGGGTTGGAGCCGCAACACAGAGTCCCCAGTGGGGCACTGCCTAGTAGAGTTATGAGAAGAGGTCCACCATCCTCTAGACTCCAGAATGGTAGATCCACCAGCAGTTTGCCCCATGCACCTGGAAAAGCCATAGACAGTAAACACCAGCGACGAAAGCAGCTGGGAGGGTGGCTGTACCTAGCAAAGCCACAGTAAAAGAGCTGCCCAAGGCCATGGGAACCTACCTCTTCCACCAGGGTGACTTGGATGTGAGGCATGAAGTTAAAGATCATCTTGGAACTTTAAGGTTTAATGACTGCCCTATTGGATCTCATACCCGCATGGGGCCTGTAGCCCCTTTGTTTTGACCAAGTTGTCCCATTTGGAATGGGTGTATTTGTCCAATGTCTGTACCCCCATTGAATATAGGAAGTAACTAATTTGCTTTTGATTTTACAGGCTCATAAGCAGAAGGGTCTTGTCTTGTCTCAGATGAGACTTTGGAGTTGGACTTTTGGGTTAATGCTGGAATGAGTTAGGACTCTGGGGGACTGTTGGAAGGGCATGATTATGTTTTGAAATGTGAGGACATGAGATTTGGGAGGGGTCAGGAGAGGAATCATATGGTTTGGCTGTGTCCTCACCAAAATCTCATCTTGAATTGCAGTTCCTATAATCCCCATGTGTCATGGGAGGAACCCAGTGGGAGGTAATTGAATCATGAGGGCAGTCACCTCCATGCTGTTCTCATGATGGTGAGTGAATATTCACAAGATCTGATGGTTTTATAAGGGCCTTTCCCCCTCACTCGGCACTTCTTGCTGTTGCCATGTGAAGAATGATGTGTTTGCTTCTCCTTCTGCCACAATTGTAAGCTTCGTGAGGCCTCCCAAGCCCTGCAGAACTATGAATCAATTAAACCTCCTTTATAAATTACCCAGTCTCAGGTATTTCTTCATAGCACATGAGAACAGACTAATACAAGGAGCCAACACACACCACTACTGTGTGTGCATGGCTCATGAGCATGGTGATTATAGCACACAGGGCATTTCACATCCCTGAAGTAGCAACTGGGGCTCTGTACCAGGCACCTCTTCTTGTATTTCCTCTTTTCCTCATTTGGAGAGGGATAAAGGAGATTTTTGCAAGAGCTGTGTTCACATGGGGAGGTCAGAACCACCAGAAAGACTTTTTTTTTATTTTTCTCAAATAATGGCCATTTTAATTGGGGCAAAGTGGTATCTCATCATGCTTTTGACTTGCTTTTCCCCAGTGACTAGTGAAGGTGAGCATCTTTTCATGTACTTATTAGCCATTTATATAGTTTCTTTAAAGAAATGTCTATTCAAGTCCTTTGCCTACTTTTTAATCATTTTTTTTGTTGTTAAGCTGCAGGAATTCTTTATATATTCTGGACATTAACCCATTATCAAATATATAATTTTCTCCCATTCTGTGGGTTGTCTTTTAACTCTCTTGAAAGTGTCTAGACTGGGCACAGTGGCTCAAACCTGTAATCCTAAGCACTTTGGGAAGCCAAGGCAGGTAGACCACTTGAGCCCATGTGTTTGAGACCAGCCAGGGCAATATAGCAAAACCCACTCCCTACTAAAAAGTACAAAAAATTATCTGGGCATGGTGGTGGGTGCCTGTAGTTCCAGCTACTCGGGAGGCTGAGGTAAGAGGATTACTTGAGCTTGGGAAGTCCAGGCTGCAGTGAGGTGAGATGGTGCCACTGCACTCCAGCTTGGGCAGTGGGAATAAGACCCTGTCTTGAAAAAAAGAAAATAAAAAAGTAAAAAGTATCCTCCTTTTTTGTTTAGTTTTTTGAAATAGGGTCTTGCTTTGTTGCCCAGGCGGGAATGCAAGTGGCATGATCATGACTCACTGCAACCTCGACTTCCTGAGCTCAAGCAATCCTCCTGCTTCAGCCTCTGGAATAGCTGGGACGATAGGTATGCACCACCACACTAGGTCAAAAGTGTCCTCCTTTGGTGCATAAAAGTTTTTTATTTTCTTTTTAAAATTTTGATGAAGTTCATTTTATCTAGTTTTTGTTTTGTTGCCTGTGCTTTTATCATATCCAGGAAATCACTGCCACAGCTAATGTCATGAAGCTTTCCCCTATGTTATCTTCTAAGAGTTTTACAGTTTTAGCTCTTTGTGTCTTTGGTAAATTTTGTGTAGGGTGTAAGATAAGGGTCCAATGTTATTCTTTTGCATGTGGCTATGCAGTTTCCTCAGCACCATTTATTAAAAAGACTGTCCTTTCCCCATTGAATGGTCTTGACACCTTTGCCAAAAACCATTTGGCCATATGTGTGAGGGTTTATTTCAGGGATTTCTATTATATTCCATTGATCTGGGGATCTGTCTTTATGTCAGGACCACACTGTTTTGATTACTGTAACTTTGTTGAGGATAGAGTTTTAAATCAGAAGTCACAGCGAGTCCAAAAGTTTCCAGCAGGGGTTGGCAAACTTTTTTTGGTAAAGGGCCAGAGAGTGAATATTTTGGGCTTCACAGGCTGTATTGTATGGGCTGTGTCACACCTTCTCTGCTCTGCTGTTGTACCACTAAAGCAGTTGTCAACAATACATAAACAAGTGGGTGTGGCTGTGTTCCAATAAAACTTACACATAAAAATGGTTGGCAGGAAGGATTTGTCACAAAGGCAGTAGTTTGCCAACCCCTACATTAGAAGTCACAGTTTGGCATTTCCAAAGGCTTGGCAGAAGGCAATGTGCTATGAACACTGGGAAGAATGAAGCATGATGAGGTTGGAGAGAGGGGCAGGGGCCAGATTACAAAGCTTGGAGACCACAGCAGGATTTCATCTATTCTTTATCCATTTATTCACCAAATAGCTATCTAGGACCTACTATGAGCCAGGGCTGGGGCTCCATAGGAGGTAGACTCTATCTTAGTTCTCACAGGACTTCGATGTAGATAGGAAGCATAAGCTAAGTGTTTTAATATGGTATCATATTTCCCTTCTGAATCATGACAGGCTCCTGATGGGATCTCTGCTCAGTGCTTTACCCTACTGCTTTAGTGTATTAGTCCGTTCTCACACTGCTGATAAAGACATACCCGAGACTGGGTAATTTAGAAAGGAAAAGAGATTTAATGGGCTCACAGTTCCACATGGCTGGGGAATCCACATGTCTTTCTCAATCATGGTGAAAGGCAAAAAGCACATCTTACATGGTGACAGGGAAGAGAGAAAAAAATAGCCAAGTGAAAGGGGTTTCCCCTTATAAAACCATCAGCTCTTGTGAGACTTCACTACTGGGAGAATAGTATAGGGGAAACTGCCCCTGTGATTCAGTCATCTCCCACCAGGTCCCTCCCACAACACGTGGGATTATGAGAGCTACAATTCAAGATGAGAGTTGCGTGGGGATACAGGCAACAATATCACTTAGTTTAAGTCTTACTATTTTTCTCTAGGATTATTGCAACAGTCTGTTCAAACAGGTTTCTGCCTCTAGCCGCACCTGCTTCCTACCTGGCATCTATGCTACAGCAAGAGACATTTCTAAAATGCAATTCTGATTGCACTCCCCAGGCTGGAGCTGTGTTGATGGCTTTTCATCACTGTCAGAGTCAAGTCTAATCTGTCAGAATGATGTGGAAAGCCCCACATAACCAGACTAGCTGACAGCCCAAGACAACTAGTCCCTCACACGCACACACACAAGAACATGTTTGATCATGATTAAACCTGGGAAAACACCAACATCAAAGAAGAACATTTGAGATCTGTGTGAATTCTTGTTGTTGGTATTTCTATTGTAAAGCATTGTTGGTATTTCTATTGTAAAGCATAATTACTGAGCAAAACTTAGTGATCATCATAGCAAACTCACATAGAGATACTCTGTGTCCTGCACTGCTAACTCATTTAATCCTCACAACTACTCTATGAAGTAGGTAGTATTACTATTCCCATTTTACAAATTAGGCAACTGAGGCATAGGAAGACTAACTTTCCCCAGGATCTCATAGCTTGCACATGTGATAGCATTAATATTCCAACCCAGAAATTCTGGCATGACAATCTGTTATTAAGCACACTGACATGCTCCTTTTAGCAGCATATGTACTAAAATTGGAATGATACAGAGAAGATTAGGTAGGCCTCTGTGCAAGGACGACACGCAAGTTCATGAAGCATTTCACATTTAAAAAGAGAAACCACTGCTCAAGCCTGCGATCCCAGGACTTCAGGAGATTGAGCCGGGACAATCATTTGAGCCCAGGAGTTTGAGACCAGCTTGAGGCAAAATAGCAAGACCCAGCCTCTACAAAAACATTTAAAAATTCACTCTGTGTGGTGGCATGTGCCTGTGGTCCCCGCTACTCGGGAGGTTGATGTGGAAGCCTTGAGGTAGAGGCTGCAATGAGCCATGTTCACACCACTGTACTCCAGCCTGGGCAACACAGCAAGACCCTGTTTCAAAAAAATTTTTTAAATAAAAATAAATAAATAATATACATATGCAAAAGTACACTAAGCCCCCCTCACTTAACCATAAATGTATTCTTTTAAAATATTGACTAAAGCTGTGACTTTTGCTTAAAAGTGTGGTCTCTGAGTGGTAGCACCAGAATCATCTGGGAGCTTATTAGAATGCCAATTCACACGGCTGGGGCCTGACCCAGGGAAGCAGAGTCTCTGGAGTTGGAGCCCAAGGATTTGAGTTTCCGCAAGCTCCCCAGGTGACTTCTTAGCCTGAGAAAGTTTGAGGAGTGCTACTCTCAAACATTTTTTTCCTGAGGAGTAAAGGCCTTAATGGAGATAAAACTTAAGGCAAACACATGAGTAATTTTGACCAAAAAAAAGTAGAAATAGGATTATTTTTAATGCAAAGATTTCAAACTATGAAAGGAAACAAATGCTTGTACAGAACAAGAGGCCATCAGAGGTCTTGAGAAGATGTCGAGGCCAGAAAAGCACAGGATGCACCTGAATTTGGAGCAAACCTGCATGAGCTCAAATTCCAGCACACCCACAGAGCAGCTGTGCACCTTCGGCAAATTGCTTCACTGTGACTTTTGTTTCTCCATTCAGAGCTTGAAATAGCAATCTCCTTGACCCATATACTCCAGGAAGGTTGTGAAAAATCAAGGGGGATCATCTATGGGACAGTCCTTTGTACAGTTGGATAGTGTGGTAATCAGATTTCATTTTCTGCTGTAACACTTCACAAGACGATATATGTGCTTTCCCTTCTCCTGTTCAGGAAGCAGATGGGATTTTGAGTCTTGTAGTTCCCTAGGGGAACTCTATTTTCTATAGTATCAGCTGCAGGAATAGACAGCTAGACTGAAGGATTACTCCAGGCTTGAAAAGAGAGAGAAATGGCCTCATCCGAGAGGATGGGGCCATAGAGTTGGCAGATAATGGTGGAAACCAGACTATATGTCTCTAAACTCATCTGCGGCCTTACAAATTCTACCCCCAAAAAGTTTAATTCAGACCTGGGATAGCTTAGACTGATATTCAGCCCCATACAGGCTTACTGCCTACCCGCCGACTGCTGTTGGATGGGTTGAGTATGTTAGCTTGTATTCTGATCAGTCGGTGCTCACGCTACAAGGGTTATGGTTTTTCATAACACCTCTAATGATAGACCATAATAGAAGGGAATGTTATCTGAAACTTAGTTCGAACAGAAGAGATTTCCGTCTGTCTGGCGATGGTTCCACGGACTCATGCCAGGCCTCACCCAGGCCTGCACACTCGTCTGACCACTGCTTGCATAGCCCTTCCTTGATTTAGTGACAAATGGCTTCAGCATGTTCACTAGAACAAAATTGGCTGGACACGGTGGCTCACACCTATAATCCCAGCACTTTGGGAGGCTGAGACAGGAGGATCACATGAACCCAGGAATTCAAAACCAGCTTGGGGAATATAGTGAGACCCCCATTTCTATAAAAAAAGAGAACAACACAATTTACAACTTACCTACTCTGTCTCCATCACATTTTTCCAACTAAGAAAGATACAAGCTACTATTCTAGGAGACCTCCCATGCGTGTGTGGGGAAGACTGTTTCCAGGCTAGAGTTTCTTTTATTCATTTTGTGAAGCTGTGTCTCCTGTCGACTCCTGGCTACCATTCTTTTTTTCTCCCCCTTTTTTTCCCATTGCTATTCCCTGCCCTCCGCCCCGCCTCAACCGGGGACAGAATAGGTGTTTTTCCTTTCTATTCTCTTTTTTCCTCTTGGCTTATTTCTTCTAGGTTAAAGGCAACTTTCAGATAAGTGTATATTGTTTAGGACAGGGAACATACTGAATTTAAAGAACACTACCACGCTTCTTACAGGAGGATAAAATATATTCTATTCCCTAGGCAAACCGATTTTCCACAATGTAATAGATTCATATACCTTATAACCTTCAATTCCGAATGGTGGAAGGAAGAAATCAGCTCTTTTTCTAGCATGCATTATTATTATCATTATTACTTTTTGAGACAGAGTTTCGCTCTTGTCGCCCAGGCTGGAGTGCAATGGTGCAATTGTGGCTCACTGCAAACTCTGCCTTCCAGGTTCAAGCGATTCTCCTGCCTCAGCCTCCCCAGTCGCTGGGATTACAGGCATGCCACCACACCCAGCTAAGTTTTGTATTTCTAGTACAGCCAAGGTTTCACCATGTTGGCTAGACTTGTCTTGAACTCCTAACCTCAGATGATCCACCCACCTTGGCCTCCCAAAGTGCTGGGGTTACAAGCGTGAGCCACCGCACTCAGCCATATTTATAATTAAAACTGAAATGTTCAAAGTGACCACCAGCCACACCAGGGGAGGTGTTATAGAGACAGTTATCCAAAAATTACAAAATGATTTCTGGCTCTGCTCCAAGTGACCTATATAATCTAAGGAGAAGCCAAACATCCTCTTTCGCTTGGGGGTAAACTGGCTTACCACACCTAGGATCTGCTTAACAGAAACCCCAAAACAGAGATAGCCATCAAGGTAGGTACAACCAGGGAAGGGGTGTTTTCTGATTGTCCTCTCAGGTGCTCAGCATAAATCATGTGTTCAGCCAAATACCTTCATCCTGCCTACAATGCTCAACCCCCCCAGAAAAGCAAAACATCTACAGAGTTTGATTCCTTTCTACTCAAGGTGTGGTCTATAGAGGTCAGTTAAGACATGGAGAATCAGAGGCCCCCCCACCCCGCCCAGGCCCCCTGAGTTCTGCAGAGCCTGTGTTTTAGCAAGATCTCCAGGTGATTCCTATGCATGTTAATGTATGAAAAGTACTGATTTAAGTGACATATTTGTCAAAACACATATCAAAAAAGAAACAAGATTTTCTACTAAGTATGAAGATTGGAAAGAGTGAAACAACTCACCTCAATTATGATGTATGACGCTGGAAGCAAAGCAGTCTAAATCTCAGCGCAGAAACAGTGGTAATACCGAGATTTCTATACTTGTGAGTTTTCCTAGACAGAATTCAACCAAGGCCCACGCCTAATAAACAGACGAATATTAGTCCAGAAACTTTCCTTCCTGCCTGCTCTCAGGGCGGGAGAAAGAATCAGAGAGGAAACTTGGCAGCCCCCAAAGTAGATCCTGCAGCTGCTAGGGAGCATTGAAGCTTTCCGAGTCAACTAGCCTTGAGGAAATGTCCAGAGTGAAATTAACAGCTCTACTATCTCCTTGAGTTCCTTTTTTCTCTACTACTCACTGATAATTAATCACATTTCTTTCCCAGTCACTGGGATTCAAACAGACGACCTAATGCTTCCAGTCAGCGTGGGATCCTCTTCCGGCACTCCCAGCAAGGGGATAGAAGAAGGGGGAAAGTCGCATGTCAGAGAGATATTTTTATATCTTTCTCTTTGTGCCACAGAATTCTGATGACAGCATCTCCAACACAAACAGCAACTTTATTTTTGAAACGGAAGGATCAAAACCAATTCTAGCAAATGGCTTTGCTCTGTGTGTAAACTTCCTGTGCTCTGTTAACCCTGACATAGCTGAGGGTTTCCTCTCACAGGCCCTGCTTTCTAGCACACATAAAGAAACAACCAAGCAGGGCTATGACATAGATTTGAAAAGGAAGCGAATTAAACCAAAACAAAGACAGGTTTCAGTGCAAAGGCCCAGCAGAGTTTTAAAGAGGACCGAGAAGCTGTACTTTTCATGCTATTCTTTCCTAAACCAAAAGTAAAATAGGAAGTCAAGGCTATATAAAATACGTATTTCTCTCTCTCTCTCTCTCTCTCTCTCTCTCTGTGTGTGTGTGTGTGTGTGTGTGTGTATTTTAAACAGAGACAGGATCTTGTTATGTTGGCCAGGGTGGTCTCAGACTCCTGGCCTCAAGCAGTCCTCCCACTGCAGCCTCCCAAAGTGCTGGGGTCACAGGCATGAGCTACCAAACTTCGCTTTTTTTTTTTTTCTGAGGCAGGATCTCACTTTGTCACCTAGGCTGGAGTTAAATAGGCATTTTATATTCCAAAAACATGATAGATGTCAAGGGAAAAAATATGACATTTACTAAGGGCTTCTAATTCCACTGTTTACAGATCTTGAAAAGCTTCTTAATCCAAGCCTTCCCCAGGCCACTGCACTACAGCCTGGACAACAGAGTAGGACTCCAGCTCAAAAAACAGAATTTCAAACACACATTTAGAAATTCATATTTTAACAGCAAACTTACATGCAGATAAAGAGAAGTATAGTTTTATACTCCCAAGTTACATAGCAAGCTGAAATGGAGAATATTTTGATGTTCATTTTAGATTTATTCTTTCTTCTAAGTCTCAGAAAAAGAGCAAAAAGGAGACATAAAACTCAAGCTATGTCTATAGCAGTATCAGTCAATGTGGCTTTATTTTTACTAACAAGTTATTCACTTGCTTACTCTATAAGTAATACATACATACTATAATACTATATACAAAACACGAAATAGAGTTAGCAATAACAAATGAAAACTTTATACAAAATACTTGATTCCATCAGTATGTAACTTTTGACCAGAAGACTTAGCCTGTACATTCTTTTCTGATATTAAAGAATAGTCACATTTTTATAGTATTCTTAACTGCAGAAAAACAGGAATGAACGGAGAGGAGGGCTGATGAGACAGTTGAAATACACATTTATAAATATGTATACAATTTAGTAATGTCATATCATCTGAATTAATATCTTTTTTTTTTTTTTGAGATGGAGTTTTGCTCCTGTTGCCCAGGCTGGAGTGCAATGGTGTGATCTCAGCTCACTGCAACCTCTGCCTCCAGCGTTCAATCAATCCTCCTGCCTCAGCCTCCTAAGTAGCTGGGATTACAGGTATTCACCACCACATGTGACTAATGTATTTTTGTTATTTTTAAATGGATAATTAAATTATTTTAACTATAGTCACCTTGTTGTGCTAGCAAATACTAGGTCTTAGTTATTCTTTCTAATTATTTTTGTACCCATGAACTATCCCACTTCTCCCCACCTCCCCAATACCTTTCCCAGCCTCTGGTAACCATTCTTCCACTTTGTGTCTCTGTGAGTTCAATTGTTTTAGTTTTTAGCTCCCACAAATAAGTAAGAACATGCTATGTTTATCTTTCTGTGCTTGGCTTGTTTCACTTAACATAAGTATCTTCAGTTCCATGTAAATTGTTGCAAATGATAGGATCTCATTCTTTTTTATGTCTGAATAGTACTCCACTGTGTATATGTACCACATTTTCTTTATCCATTTGTCTGTTGATGGATACTTGGGTTACTTCCATATCTTGGGTATTGTGAATACAGCTGCAACAAATGTAGCAATGCAGATATCTCTTCAATATACTGATTTCTTTTAGCTGTATACCTAGGAGTGGGATTGCTGGATCATATGGTAGCTCTATTTTCAGTTTTTTTGAGGCACCTTCAAACTGTTCTCCATAGTGGATGTACTAATTTATGTTCCCACCCAACAGTGTATGAGGGCTTTCTTTTCTCCACATCCTCACCTGCATTTGTTATTTCCTGTCTTTTAGATAAAAGCCAATTTAACTATGATGAGATGATATCTCATTGTAGTTTTGATTTGCATTTCTCTGATAATCAGTGATGTTGAGCACGTTTTCGCATACCTGTTTGCCATTTGTATGTCTTCTTTTGAGAAATGTCTATTCAGATCTTTCACCCATTTTATAATTGGGCTATTAGATATTTTTCCTATAAAGTTGTTTGAGCTCCTTGTATATTCTGGTTAATAATTCCATGTCAGATAGATAGCATACAAATATTTTCTCCCATTCTGTGGGTCGGTTAATAATTCCATGTCAGATAGATAGCATACAAATATTTTCTCCCATTCTGTGGGTCATCTCTTCACTTTGTGAATTGTTTCCTTTACTGTACCAAAGCTTTTAAATTTGATGTGATCCCATTTGTACATTTTCGCTTTGGTTGCCTGTGCTTCTGGGGTGTTATTCAATAAATCTTTGCCCAGTCCAATGTCCAGAGAGTTTCCTCAAACTTTTCTTTTAGTAGATTCATAGTTTGAGATCTCAGCCTTAAGTCTTTAATCCATTTTGATTTGATTTTTGTATACGGTAAAAGATAGGGGTCTAGTTTCATTCTTCTGCATACAGATATCCAGTTTTCCCAGCACCATTTATTGAAGAGACTATCCTTTCCCCACTGTATGTTCTTGGTACTTTTGTCAAAAATGAGTGCACCACAAATGTATGGATTTGTTTCTGGGTTTTCTATTCTGTTCCACTGGTCTGTCTGTTTTTATGCCAGTACCATGATGTTTTGGTGTGGGAGTTCAGTCAGGGTGGTGGGAAAAATTTTAGAGGAAAAATTTAAAGATAGCTATAGGAAGTAGTCACAAACCTTAGAAGGCTGGGGCATTGCATGGCCTCAGTAACAGATTTGGCTGAAGGCAGCCTAATCCTCTTTACCCTGAGTTGATCGCAGAAAAGCAAATAACAAGGGAATGTGGGAGAGTTTACGTAAGTAACTTGTTTACTCACGTGGTTCTAAAACTAACCTTTAATTCATGGGCAGGATGGCTCTTCTGGGGGAGGGTGACCAGGTTAATTGCCATCTAGTGGTGTTGACTTAAAGCCCTTGTCATTGAATGTGTGCTGAATAAATGCCAGGAGGGCCAGCGAGTCAGGGCTGCCATGGCAGCTGCAACTCTTTCAGTCAGCGGCCTGGCCCCCTGGTCCACTCTTTCACTCAATATTGGTGTGTTGAGTACGTTATTCATCCGTTGTGCAGCGAGGGTCTGTGGGACAAACCCCAGCAGTTTGGTGACTATAGCTCTGTAGTATAATTTGAAGTCAGTGTGATTCCTTCAGTTTTTTTTTTTTTTTTTTTTTTTTTTTTTTTTTTTTTTTTTTTTTTTTTTTTTTTTTTTCCCTTAGGATAGCTTTGGCTATTCTGGGTCTTTTGTGGGTCTATATAAATTTTAAGATTCATTTTTTTTTTCTATTTCTGTGAAGGATGTCTTGGTATTTTGATAGGGATTGCACTGAATCTGTAGATTGCTTTGGGTAGTATGGACATTTTCACAATACTCATTCTTTGAATCCATGAACGTGGAATATCTTTCCCTTTTTTGTATCCTCTTCAATTTCTTGCATCAATATTTTATGGTTTTCATTGTAGAGATCTTTCATTTCTTTGGTTAATTCTGAGGTATTTTATTTTATTTGTAGCTATTATGAATGAGATTACTTTTTAAATTTCATTTTTAGATTATTTGCTGTTGCATATAGAAATGCTAATGACTTTTGTATGTTGATTTTGTAACCTGCAACATGACTGAATTTGTTTATTAGTTCCAATAGTTTTTTGCTGGAGTCTAGTTTTTACAAATATAAGATCATATTATCTGCAAACAAGGATAATTTAATTCCTTCCTTTCCAATTTGGATGTCCTTTCTTTCTCTCATCTGATTGTTCCAGCTTAGGACTTCCAATACCTTGTAGAATAATAGTGATGAAACTGGGCATCCTTGTCATGTTTCAGATCTTAGAGGAAAAGCTTTCAGTGTTTTTCCCATTCAGTATGATAGTAGCTTTGGGTCTATTATATATGGCTTTTATTATGTTGAGGTATGTTTCTTCTATACCCAGTTTTTTGGGGGGTTTTATCATGGAGGAATGTTAAATTTTATCAAATGCTCTTTCAGCATCAATTGAAATGATCATATGGTTATTGTACTTTGTTTAATTGGTATGATTTATCACATTAATTGATTTGCATATGTTAAACCATTCCTACATCCTTGGGATAAATCTCACTTCGCCATGATGAATTACATTTTTAATTTGTTTTTGTATTCAATTTGTTAGTATTTTGGTGAGGATTTTTGCATCAATATTCATCAGTGTTATTGGCCTGTCCCTTTGTTTTTTGTTTTGTTTGTTTTGTTTTGTTTTGTTTTGTTTTGTTTTGTTTTGTTTTGTTTTGTTTTGTTTTGAAACAGAGTCTCACTCTGATGCCCAGGCTGGAGTGTGATTGCATGATCACAGCTCAATGCAGCCTTGACTTCCTGGGCCCAAGTGATACTCCCACCTCAGCCTTCTGAGTAGCTGAGGCTATAGGCATGCACCATCATACATGGCTTATTTTTGTATTTTTTGTAAAGATCGGGTTTAACCATGTTTTCCAGGCTGATATCTTCGTGTTTTTGATATGTTTTGACATGTTTGGGTATCAAGGTAATACTGGCTTTGTAGAATGAGTTTGGAAGTATTCCCTTTTCCTTTATTTTTTGGAATAGTTTGAGTAAGATGGTATTACTTTTTCTACCAAGTATTTGGTAGAATTTAGCAATAAAGCCATTGGGTCCCAGGTTTTTCCTTGCTGGGAGACTTTTCATTATAGCTTTAATCTCATTACTTGCTATTGGTCTGTTCAGGTTTTGGATTTCTTCATGGTT